CGTCGCATTTAGTACTGCTGCCACCCATCGTGCGCCCTTACCCATCTCTATTAATGAATCTGAGGGTTTCCTCGGCCCACCACCCTCCGCACTTGGTCGTCGCGTCAGCGTCAGCGCCGAATCCATCGAACCCTCTGAAACCGGCGCCGAGGTCGTGCATCCATTCTATTACAAGACTCCCGAGCAACGCCAAAGGCTGGAAGACTCAATCGGGGACGCGTTCCTATTCAAGAACCTCGATGAAAAGAAGCGACGTGCCGTCCTCGGAGCGATGAAGGAGATGAAATTCGATGCGGGGACAAGAGTGATCACGCAAGGAGATGCTGGAGATTACTTCTATGTCGTGGATTCGGGGGAGTTGGATTGCTACGTGAAACCCAAGGCGGATGAGCAGCCGCTGTATCCCGGTGCTCCACCCCCACCCCCACCTGGTCCGCCTGGTCCAGAAGATCACCCAGAGTATGGGAAGAAAGTCGTCGAGTACAAGAAGGGGACCTCGTTTGGGGAGCTAGCGCTGATGTACTCGAACCCGAGGGCGGCCACCATCATCTCCAAGACTCCTGTCACGCTCTGGGCCCTGGATCGTGTCACATTCAAGACGATATTGTTGGAGATTTCTTCTAGGACGAGGAAGGATTACGAGGGTTTCCTCAGACAGGTGCCGATCTTGCATTCTTTGACCGATCGGGAGCGAGCCAAGTTGGCGGATGTGCTGCAGACGCGACAATTTGAGTATGGCGAAGCTGTGGTTAGTCAGGGCGAGACCGGAAAGGAGTTTTACATTGTAGAGGAGGGAGAGGCAACGGTGTCCAAGAAAGTTGATGGGTCAACCGAGGAGGAGATAGTCATGCATCTCAAGCGTGGAGATTATTTCGGAGGTGCGCGAGAGTACTTTCTATTTAATTGAACCCGCTGACACCTTTGCACGCGCAACAGAACTTGCCCTCCTTCACCGAGCACCGCGTGCCGCTACTGTTCGATCCGGAAACACTAGTCAACCTGTTGACGCGACTAAACCGAAACTGAAGGTCGCAGCCCTCGACGCGGACGCGTTTACGCGACTTCTCGGACCCCTTCGTGAACTCATGGAGCGGACAGCAGAACAGAAATATGCGTCGACTCAGTGATAAAGCTGTGGAATTTTTGAAGGGGTGCAAAGCACATATAACTCATCTTTATTCTCTTTTGTGCTCCTTGTCGCGGTGCTAGTTGGTGAAGGAATGCATATCGTGCCACCAGTCTCAACTAGCGAATTGTAAGGCGATCGATGGCGTGTACCGCGAAAGCATTCTTGATGTTGCCTCTCTTCGCATTTTGAAGCGGTGATCAAGTGAACCAAACTTGTGCCTTCTATGAGGGCGAAGTGGGTGAATTTTGGGGACAGAATTTACGATCCATGTCATTGTGCCCAAATAGAAAGCTCGAACGCATCTCCCTTTTACCTTGACAATAGCTGCGATGTGATGACTATACACTTATCATATGGGCTGGCGTTTGGGATATATCAATCAATAAGTGTCACAAATTATAGTGCCTTGTGGAGCATTGAATAGGCCTTGAGAAGTTGTGTCAATAGAGTACAGATTGGGTTTAACTTAGATATTGAGTGACATATAGAAGACAATGCATGTGCAATATCCTCGTCAAAGAAGGTAGAGTGACGTGCGGCTCTTTGGCGGCATATGGGCTACGGACAAACAAAGGACCGGGTAAAGGAAAGTCGAATCACAGAAACGTCAACGACAACCGCAACGTCTCCCGCCTGACTCTTCACCGCACATTACCAGCTTTTTTTCCATCTAACTCGCTTACATTATTGTACCATCGAATATAACAACTCTCGTCCAGCCATGAAATCCCTACGACGCTCCATAAATAAGGAGCCTCCAGCCGTTTCCGCGCCCCTCAACGCTTACCCGGCACCTTCTAGGCCAAACGCCCAGGCGCAGTCCAAGTCGACCACGAAAGCCATCCGATGCATTCAGCCCTATCGATCCAAGAACCCCCAGGAACTATCGTGTGCCGTTGGGGACTGTCTTCATGTCGTGCGCGATATGCAGATGGGCTGGTACGAGGTGATTAATCCAATGAACAACTCAAGGGGCGTCGTCCCAAAGTCCTGTTTCGAGGAGATGCCAAAATCGAATTCCAACAGGTGAGCCGTTGTACTCCAGTGCATCTCTCATCGCAAAGCTTACTGCCAGTCCAAACTCCTATTCAGTATCCAAGCTGGGCCGACTGCTCGCGTTCCTCCGCCACAAATGAACCCACGAGCCCAATCAATGGCCGGGAAGCTTCAGACGCGACACCAAACGTTTTACGCCATCGTCCAGTACGACTTTTCCGCCGAACGTCCTGATGAGCTCGACGCCAAGGCTGGCGAACCTATCTCTGTTGTCGCACAATCCAATCGTGAATGGTTTGTCGCCAAACCAATCGGTCGTTTAGGCGGACCGGGCCTCATTCCGGTCTCCTTTGTTGAGATACGGGATCCCGCAACGAATCTACCTGTCAAAGACGTTGAGGGACTGATGGAGAAAGGTGTCCTCCCTCGTGTGGAGGAGTGGAAGCAAGCTACTGCGGAGTACAAAGCGAGCAGCATCCCTCTCGGCGTGCTTGACACAACGACCAACGGAAGCGTCGTCGCGGATAGTCCGTTCATGAAGCAAAATCAGCAGCGGCAACGACAGCCGCATCAATCTCCACAGCAGCAGGCCGCCACACGGCAGTCACAACAGCACGCTCGATCACTATCCTATGCCACATCCCAGTCCCATGCCGCCTCTTCCTCACACTCTCACGCTGTATCGACCACTTCTATTCCTCCAGCGCCTCCATCGAAGCCCCAAAAGGAGCCACCCGGGCCACCTGCCTCCGACGTTGCGAACCCTGACCTTCTCCCGCCAGGCACGGTGCTATCAGCTAGCATACCCTCCTTCCATTATGAGAACGACGAGTACTGGTTCAGGATAGATGCCATGTACCAAGCGATCAGTGCCACCGCCTCCGCTCCACGCGTCCTACAGCTCATTCTCTATCGGAATTACGACGACTTCTACGAGTTCCAGATCAGCCTTCTCAATGCATTCCCAGCAGAGGCTGGCCGAGATCGACAGTCGCAGGTGTTGAATGGCGACGAGACACCGCCTGTATCTGATGAATCGTCGAGGGTACTGCCGTATATGCCTGGGCCTGTGTCGTACGTCGATGACATGATCACGTCCGTACGAAGGACGGAGCTTGATCAATACTTGGGAGAGCTGTGTGCATTGGAGAATAAGGGCAATGGATACATCCTGAGGCATGACCTGGTGCGGTTGTTCTTGAGCCCAAAGTCTGGGGATGTTGTGGATGAGGTTGAAGTCAACGATGACTGGGTGTTGGGCACCAAGTACGCAAATGCAGACGCAGACGCGCGTGTGAACGAACCCATCGAAGAGACGGAGCAGGAGCAGTCGCCCCGCAGGTCGTACGTCGATGATGTCACACAAGATATGAGTCGGATGCGCATCCCACCGTCTAGCTCGAGCGCCGACGGTGCAGCCCGGTCTTCAATTGGAGGAAATGGATACGAGGAGGAGCGGACGCCACAGGGGCGTTATAGCGCTGCGGGTGGGAGGTCTACTCCAGACGAAAGCGTGGGTCGAAGAAGCGCAAGTCGGTCGCGATCGCCGATAAATAATCCAAGCCTTCGTGGGCCCGAAGAGGAGCGCGATAATGGGTCGAGGCCGAACTCGCAATTTAATCAGCAACCGCTCACCCCCTACTCTGCTGCGTCGGATTACTCGTCTTCGTCTCAGGCTCAAGGCGGCCATTCGCACTCACGTTCGTATTCCAATGCCGCAACCCTCTCTCCTCCGTCGGCACCAGGACCATCGTATTCTGGATACGGATCGGGCAGTGCTAGCACACAATCTCGCTCAGCTCGATCATCTGGCTATACTCAGGACGGCGCGGCCGGCGTGCATCCGTATGGCAATGGCAGTCACATTAATGCGCCATCCGGCCCCCTCCCTCCAATACCTCCGCAGCAACAACAAGCTGCATCGCGTTCGTCTCACTATCAGAGCGAAGGTGGACATCAAAGCGATGCGGGAGGAGGCACGCGTACATCGACCTCGAACCCGCCCAGCGCGCCACCCTTCCTCAAAATCAAAATCTTTCACTCCGAATCAGATGACCTCATCGCGATTCGTGTCCCACCACGGGTCAATTTTAATCAACTCATCAACAAGGTCCGCGATCGGCTTGGGCCAGGGGTGAGCGTGCTACGGTATAGGGACTCATACGATGGTGGAGGTGCTGGGGGCTCGGCGGCGAAAAATTGGCGCGAGATTGTGGGTGACAGTGATCTCAGGGATTGGATATCCAAAGGTGATAAGTTGGTATTGTATGCGGATTAAGTTGAGCCCTTCTGCAATGTTTCATGTTCTCTTTCCCCTTACTTTATGTAAACCTAACTGGACCTGTAGCACGAGAATGGTTTAAATATCATATTTTGATGTCCCCACATTGTGCAATGTCACGTTCTGACTTGATGTCAAGAATGTTTATGGACCTGACACAACGAACGTGACTGCAAGATGGGATAGAGTAACCCTTTAAGCCCGAGCCCGAGTAAGAGACTGAGACTGATCGTTGAGTCGTCTTGTGAGCTGGTCATGTTTCAAGCAACATCCCATTGCAGTGGGGTGTAGCGGTGGTGAGTGTCCCCGATAAGTCCGTGTCTCATGCTGGCCCTGCGCACACAAAGAGATACCCTCCAAACAGGAGCAATGGGATGACAAAGGGAGTGATCAATGTGAGAAAGGATGTTGTTCGAGACTCAGCAACACTTGATTGTATAATCATTCCATTATAGAATATATGGTCTATGGTTGCATCCATAAGGATCCAATGAAGGCTGAAAGGGTCGTGTGATAGTTAGTGTTGGATTTGACTTCGTACGTATCGTAATCACCTGTAATCGAATTATCTATCTACCCCTAATTTCTCTGACTGGCCAGATGGCCGAGTGGTCTAAGGCGCTAGTTTTAGGTAATAACACTAGTCTTCGGGCAAGGGTTCGAATCCCTTTCTGGTCATATTTTTTTTTATAGGTCTTTGACGACAATTGAGCTTCGAATTCAACCATGCCTAATCCACGACCAATTGAATCATGCCTCAATAACGAACACGGCAACTGTTGTAAAACTATCGGGTAATCTTTCACCCTTCGCAATCAACAAACCCTACATGTGTACTTTCAGCTCAAGCTGATTGAGTAAATTTCTCCGTGGAGAGCTGTCACCGCTGACCACCACACCGTTCTTCGATGCAGCCCTGGCCACAAAAAGACACCAGACTTCTGCGGAGTGGGGTACAGAAGACCAGATAATTTTATGCGTTCATCCCATATAAATATGGCGCATTTCAGCGACCATTTGACAACATCGATATCCTCTCCCTCGCTCCAACTCACTCCTTACCATGTTCATGTTCAAGTCCACTCTTTTGATCAGTGCCCTTGTTTCTACCGCAACCGCGACGTTGCCCATTTATACTCTCACAGACAACTTCGTTGGCCCTAGCTTCCTGTCTGGATTCAACTGGGAGGCTATACCTGACCCGGTGCGTGATCAGTTAAAGGCCACTGGGCTTAGCGACTCGAGACCAACCCGGCTTGATATCTGACTACTGTGGTCGCAGACCCATGGAGCCGTCAACTATACCGACCAGGCGTTTGCCATCCAGCAAAACCTGACCTTCACCTCTCATGATACCCTTATTCTCCGCGCCGACTCAACCCATACCACTAACTACCCGACGGGACCCGGTCGCAATAGTGTTAGAATCCGCTCCAACAAACTATACAGCAACACCGTTACCATTATGAATTTGCGACATATGCCTGTCGGATGTGGAACATGGCCCGCCTTCTGGTCCACTTTGGAAGCGGATTGGCCAGATAGCGGAGAGGTCGACATCATCGAGGGCGTCAACGATGTTTCCCCGAATCTATCAAGCCTGCATACGAGTGCCAATTGCACCATGGTTGCGAGCACTATGTCCCAGACAGGGTACGTGTGATCTATTCATCACGTTCCTTGCGTTGCGTCTTATTGTTGTCCCTGGAATCTTTTATTAGAAATATTGTCTCTGCGGATTGTTACGGCGGTGATAATAATGGAGCGGGCTGTGGCATCCAGGCAACCAAGGCCAATTCCTACGGACCACCTTTGAACAGCATTGGGGGTGGCTGGTACGCGGTAAGAGCATGCTTCTTCGTATACCAGCTTTTTCCGCATAAAAATTGCCAACATCACCGTACATTGTTATTAGATGGAAAGGACAGCTCAGCATATCAACATATGGTTCTGGGGCCGCGACGAGAAAGGCGTTCCCGTTGATGTCCTTCTCGGCAGCCCAATTGTTGACCCTTCGCTTTGGGGCACACCCACCGCCAACTTCGTGTCAACAAATTGCGATTTTGCGACCCATTTTGGACCTCACAATATCATCATCAACTTGACGTTATGTGGAGACTGGGCGGGAAACGTATACCCCTCAACGTGTCCAAGCACTTGCATTGGTAAGTTCAACGGATTGTCCTTTAATCACGGTCAGGGCTAATGGTTTTTTCCTCTAACTCAGACCATGTGAACAATGATCCGGCTGCTTTTGTAGACGCCTACGTGGGTCTTGCAAAGTATATCACTTGCGCATACGATTCGCTGATTCTGTGATTATTTTCAATAGTGGGATATCGCTTCGGTCAAGGTCTTCGAGCCAGTAAATATCACAATCCCGACGGTATCAATTCCGAAGATCCCAATCCCGACGGGCCACGTGAAGCACCGCAGGGCTCGTGACCACGGCCGGTCGCACTTGTTGTAATTTTGTTGTACCCCTCCACTACTCCGAAACGTATTGAGGTCTGGCCACGTTACTTTGAACAATACCAGATCCTTAGTGATTGCGTTTTCTAACCTCCCGCTTCAGCCCTCTAATGAATGAGCTGCTGCATCATTGTTTTGAGGACAGAGGGGAATTCGCCACCAGACGAAAAGCCACTACGGCATCACCCGCGGTTTTCCCGACAGTGTGGGCAGTGGATCATATCTCGCGGCTCACGTCATACAACCTATCAAAGAGGCAAAGGCTTTGTCTAGTACGGTGTCGCAGGTGCTGTCTCTTGTAGTTCAAGTCATCCTTGAGCATCCCGCTTCCCCTGCGCCATTACAAACGGTGTTCTGAAGCCACGGCCAAAATGTTCACTGGCCTTACGCTGCTGTAAATCAAGACATCTCTTTGACAAATCGCTCCCATTCTGAGGTTATGGTCACGCCTACTTGTATATATTTGGTACAAGTACAGCAACATCAATCGTCCTCTTCGTCATCCTCCCCGTCCAAATTTACAGGGGGGAACCAATCATACTCAGTGTCGTCATCTGGATCGGCGTCAGCCCACCGATCGTCCTCATCGTCTCCTCCGGCGAAGACGGGCCGGACATCCTGCCCTTTGGTTGAGGTCACCACTGCTGCCGTCGACGTGGATATAGCACCAGCAACCAGTGTAGGTCTTCCATTCGTCGTCGCAGTCTCTTTGCTGCTGGTGATGACATTAGACTCCATTGTATCGACATCAACGTCTTCCTCTTCCACCCGTTGTCGCTTCAGTCTTTCTTCCTCATCATCTTCCTGCGAGTCAGTAAATCATCCGTTAGTGAATGTAGAGAGGGTTAGAATAGGATGAATAATACACACTAAATCGAATTCGTCCTCTCTTTCCTCGTACTCGATGTTCTCGTCCAGCTCCTCGAACCCGGGGGCGAAGGCGCTATAGTTCTCCGTCACGTGTCGACCCCATAGGTGGATCAGCCCAGAATGTGAGAGACTAGCAATGTGAGGCCTCATAGGGTGCCACTATTGAATCAAAGGTACCGGGCCACGTTAGTCTAGCGATCGTCGAGACCACACCTGCAACTTACGTCAAGATCTGTCAGAGGTTCCTTTGGACCTTCAAGGATCTTCTCGAGGTCGCCCGAAGTCCGATCCCAGATGTATAAGCTATGTCCAGCGATATTCGCGGAACCTACAATTGTTAAGAACCACGGTGAACTCCAAGCTCTCTACATAGCGGTCAATCTACGCACCAGCTAATATGTATTCCCCATCGCCGCTAAAGGATACTGCGTTCCATGGGCTCTTTTGAATCGGGTCTTGCAGCTTTTGGACGAGTTCAACCATTTCAGCAGGTTGTGACTGGGAGTCAGATGGTGAGCCCGGGTCCTCCGATATTCCATTGGGAGGGGCGGGCGTTGCTGCATTCTCGAGCGTTGCGGAGCTAATGGCAGTGGTCTCGATCGCGTACACTCGGACTATGCGGTCCGTAGAGTTCAAGACGAGAAAACTTTGGACAAGCCAGCAAGATGAATGTATAAACGTTTGGCGAGCTTCATAGAACAAAGACGGATCTTACTCACTTTCCTGCTCGGTCAAACTCCATGTGTTTGATACTGCAATTGTTGGCAACTTTGATTCGGTGGATATGCTAGAGAGGTGGACTCCGATTAGGTTCCTGGCAGCGAAACAAGTCATCAATCCCGCGTACATTCTTGGTTCTCGTGTTGTACACGAGGAGCGTTCCATTTGTCGTGCCTGCCCATATCGTCTTCCCGTCTGGACTGAAGCGGGCGATGGTGATAGTCGACCTTGAACGACAGACGAGAAATCTATTAGCACTTTCCACCCGCGTACCACGCCCATAATCCTGTACGTACTTGGGACTGCCTCCTGCAGAATTATGAGCGTCGATACTGTTGCCGTTACTGATGCCGTTCGTATTTGCCGAATCTGACAATTCTATCCGTTCCTCGCGTCTCTTTCGCAAGTCTACAACAACGCACTGATGGGTGCCCAGTATCACAAGAATGATCTTACTATAAAAAATCCGCAGGGGGGTTTGAATTCGTTTCATGTCTTTCCGGGATCAATTATCGCTTACCTGTTCCTTGGATGGAATGACGCGCCCAAGACCGGCGTATCAAAGCGAATTGTCTGCCGGCGCTCCCCAGAAGCCAGATCCCATATCACACAATTCCAATCCTTCGACGTGGTCATTAGGTACTTGGAGTTCCTCGACCAGCTGCGAAGAAGATCCCTTCAGTAAAGGAAACAGCTGAGGGGTCTGCTACATACCTGACACTGGCAATTCCCTTTACATGCCCCTCCAGTGACCGGATGATCCCCCTTGTCTCTGCGTCCCACACAGTCGTCCAGCCATCGTATCTCCCAGCGGCGATGAAGCGTCCTGTGGGGCTATACCTAACGCAGAGCGCGGCATCTTCAAGAGTAGCAACTACGTTTTCCGGAAAGTTTTGAGCAAATGGATCTTGGTAAATGGCAGAGCGGATTGTAGTCAGTAAAGATCAGGGAGATAGAGAGAGGCGAACTGACTGAGTAGCTCGACGTTCATGGGTTGGGATGTTGACTGACCTCAGGCACAGCGCCGTACCTCAATCTTACCCTTCTTTTCTTACATATCTTTCACCCGAAACTGCCTTTCCTTTCAGGCGCGAAACTGTGTTGCAGTGTATGCACTATATGCTCTGTTATACTTTGACCTTATGCAACTATCCTTGGTCATGACCACAGTTAGATGGCCGGCGGACCTGCTTCCCTTCAGCCCTTACATCCCGGATATATCCAGCTGTGTCATGATGAAACCCCGGCGTTGATCGAATTCCGAGGATGGAGGTGAAGGATGATGGCATGTACGCAATTCCTTGTCGGTCCGAAGTCCGACAATGCGTTTCGGCCCCTAAGAATGATGATTGGCTGCTGCTATCACTGATAAGACTTACCAGTTGCGCCAATAAAAGGCTGGCTTGTATTCGAACCACTAGCATTGCCTTGCCTCCTTCTTGCACACTTTCAACTCGCATACGAGTGGGCGAACGACTGAGGAAATATCTCGAACTCTGGGTGCCGCGAATATGTCTAACGCATCGCCGATGTCGAACAAATCAACATCCTCGTTCGAGACCATCAAAGCGTCCAAACTGGCTATGAAAAGGTCTTTAAAGTCTCTGTTAAGTACG